GGAATAACCATTTCAAGAGTCGATTTTCGAACAAACCTAAGCAATATTTTTATTAAATTATAGCCTTGGTAATTCCCTCATTCCCTCTCCGATTGTAGCCCCTCCCCTGCCCCTCGGCCAACCCATAATTATTCACTTAACACATATCTAAGCCGAGCATCTAAATTAATAATTTTCTTGCGCTAAAAAAGCAATGAGAACTGCAGAAAAAATGGAAACATAAATTAAGTGTGTGTTCATGTTGCAGGGCTCATTAATTTTGCTTGTTAACATTTGTGGCTAACAAATTTTCGGCCCAGTTTTTCCACATAGCCAGACGCCAGCGAAAAACATCTGCAAAGGCATTTGCATGGCTTTCACTTTTGGGGGTGGATGTGGGGATGGAAAATGTGGAAATTTGTCGCAAATTACTTTCACTCTGGCACTCTGGCACTCGTGGCGGATCGTATGACAAGGAAGTGAGAGCCCAAAACAAGCGAAATGGAAATCCTTTCGCCCCCAACAACTGGAAAATGTTTGCATGTCAAATTTAGTTTCTAAACAAATAGAGGGAGCAGAGCAGAGCAGAGCAGCTGGCAGGGCACAGGAGACCCGCAGTGGCCGCAAGCCTTTGACAAAAGTGAAAGGAAAGGATATTCGATCGATGCGTGTGCCTTTAATGATGATAAATGCGAGGCCAGCGAGGAAGCTGCAAGTTCCGGCACATTTAGCGACTCACTCGAAACAATTTTAAAGCCGGCGAGCCGCGAACCCCGAGGACAGGACTCTAACCCTAACAGAGGTTCGGGATTGGGTTACACAACAACAAACAAGGCGGCGGCCCGGCCTGGCGCGCATGCGCAGCACGCTCAGGATCATCAGACACAGGGCGCATCCTTTTCTCTCTCCGGCTTCGGTTGAGCACGCGCTCTCTATCGATCTCTCCGCCGCTCTCCACCCGTTCGTTTCCCTTCTGCGTGATGAGCACAATGTTATCTCTCCTCATATATGTATAGTCATTGTATATGTCCCCGGCTCTACCCCCCCACCCCCCCCCCCCCCTGCTCGTATTTTTTCAACAATTTTTTATTGGCCTTCAGATTCGTTTTTGAATTCGTTTTTTTGCCCATCATGCAAAACAGGGTGGAAAATCCATACGTTTTTTTGTGCGCTCCGAGCCATGCCCACATTTTGTGCTAGCCCCTTTTCCACCCCTTTTGGCGGAGAGCAGCAGCTGCCATCAAAATATGTTTCATTGCGCGCTAAAATTTTCTAAAAAATCTGCCAAAATTTTGGGAAAGTAATTGCTTGAAAACAAATATCGGGGAAAAAATCGAATCCGCTTAAGTGACATTTTAACCTCTTGAAAATATTTTCTCCCATCGTTTTTTCGTAACGTATTTTCTGTAAGGGTTTTTTTATGGCAACCAGCATTAAATCGGGTGTTTTCTTGGGACAAAAAATAGATTTTAAATTGTGAAAAAATGGATAAAAAAACTAGAAAGCCATTAAATAAAATTAGGAAAATGTTGCGGGTCAATGGTTGGCGAAAAATGGTCAACAAAATGCGTGGGAAAGGATTGGCAAAAGTTTTGTACATTTTTTTGATGGGAAAAATGTTAAAAAATAATATTTTAAGGGAATGGAATTTTGTGAAAGGGATTTCTATGGAATAATTCATGTTTTTTGCCTATAAAAAAAGATTTGTGTGACTTCTTTTATAGATATTATTTGTAAGTTATCTTTAAACGATACCTACACGTATTTATAACTTTTTAGGCACTAAAAAACATGCAGAGAACACTTATTACCAAGACTCAATTATTTCTTTGAACATCTAGTGAAAAATAATTGTAATAATTTTCGCATAAACCGAACCAGTCTTGAAATATCTGCAGAAAAGCCGCCATTAAATCGCTCTCGTTTCCCCTATAATTACCAGCCTGGCTGCTTGCCACACATTTTCACTTCATTTGCCAGCCACAAAAAATTTAAATGCAATAGAAATAAAAATTAAATTAAATATATGTATTTAATATGAATTTTCGCAATTTAAGAGATTTTTTGCGGTCGCTGTTTGCTTTTTTAATGCGCGATGTGGCCAAATAACTGCAATTACAAAACGCAGAAAAAAACAAGAGCAACAGAGAGAGAGAGAGAGAGAGAGAGAGAGAGAGAGAGAAGTGGCGTCTCGAGCGGTTGCACATGCAAAGTACGAATGGGAGGGAACGAGAGAGAGAGAGAAAGAGAGAGAGAGGAAAACAGGTGCCTGGCACGAAATTTATGCAAACAAGCAGCGAAGTGTAGAAAGGCGTGTAAAAAGCGGGGGCGTCAAAAGCAGGGGGGCCCGGGTGGGGGTGCAGGGGGGGGCCTGCAACGCACTGCAAATTAAATGCGCTAATTGTGCTCAGCGTATGCAAAGAACGGCCGGCCGGCCAGGCTTTGCCGATTGCGTGCTTGCAGCGCATTAAACAGAGCGCAGGAACGAGACGGCGAGAGACGGCGAGAGGCAGCGCCACACCGTTATTTAAATGAGAGCAAAGGAGCATCAGCAGGGGGGTGAGGTGAGGTGTGTGTGGGTTCCGCTTGGCCTGCCTGGCGACATGCATTGGGCGGTCTCGGGCGAGTGTACGCGAGCGTATGACAAAAGGAGTAGCGGAGAGGCATCAGAAGAGCCGATTACGGTTGGGATTACGGAATATAGCCATGGGTCTTGGGGGTAGGTCAATGATTACTCGAAACTGGGTCGAGTTTTAGGGGAATTTTAGGGAATTATGGGAGCATTTGGTAGGCTCCAAGGCCTAAGGCTCTACAAAAGAGCTCCCAAAAGCCATCTCCCTCTCGTGCGAGTCATGAGGCAGTCGACACCTGAGATGTGGCACGTATTCTCACCCGTTCTAGCTCTGTCCTGGCTGTACAGCGCCCTGTGGAAAGATACCCTTTAATTAAGAATTATTGGATGGTACTATGACTCTTTTTGGTGAAATTTTATACCTATATCCAAAGGCTCTTGTTTTGTAAAACCTTTCCATGACTTTGGTATGAAAATGGAAGCAGAAGAAGGGCCTTAGACCCTGTGGCATCTCCATATTGGTTCCATTATAAAAGAACTCTTAAAGAATAATGTAGAATTATGCCTTTTAGACCTAAATATATATCTGATAATAGTATGCGTAATAGTAGTCCCAATATAGAAAGATATATGACCAATTTCGAAAGATTATTACTGTTTAATCTACAAAGAACTAAGGGAAATATTGATGCCCCTCTTGATGTATTCCCAGATTAACATTAGGCTCTACCCCAGGCTAGAGTTTTCTGCTTCCTTCTCTATAAAAAACCCTCTATAGAACCCCAAAAAAGAAACATTGCCTGTAATAAATTCACGTTTCCCTTTGGCACAAAAGAGCAAAAGTCGCAACAATAATCACTTTGCTCATTGTTTGCTTCGATTCTGGTGCGTAGCCAAGTGATCACAATGGCTGCTCAGTGATCATCATTCGGGATTGGCCTTTGTGCCTTCGTCTTTGGGTTGCTTTGGCAGTGTTACAGTTACAGTTGCACTTCGTGTGCCGAAATACGCAGCGGGTGCAGCCATCAGCCATGGGACAAAAGCCAAATTGCACTTGGTAGACGGTGAAGGTGATGCGGAGGGCTGCCCATTGTCCTTTGCGCAATGTGGTGTTCCCACGATCTGATCCGTGTTGTTGCTTCTGTATTCTGCGGTATTCAGGCAGACCTTCTGGACCCAGGCAACACCTCCTTTGATTCCGGCGCACACCTGGAAGAAAGAGATGGATGGACAGGTCTCTCCTTTGATAGCTCGCCCCCTCCCCCTCCCCAACCCTCCCTCTACGTTTTGTACTTAATTAAAACCCTAGGAATGACACAAATTTATGACCCTGACGGCGGTACTTCCTCGTAATTGTCGAAATTGAAATTCCCTGTCCAAACGGTAAAAAATCGAATAATTTCATCGTCTTTGTAGCCAGCAATTCGTTTGTACTTGCAGTCCTTATCCTTGTCGGCCTGCCTTTGAGGAGGATTTGGTCGCCGAAGCGACAAATCGAAATCCTGCAACACCGCAGAACCCTCTAAAGACTTTGCGATAAAAAATTAGATGACAAAAAATATACCATAATTCTGGGAACTCTGAAAGAAAGGAATCTTTCTTATAAGAGAAGGAAATGTATGGAAAAATAGTATAAAATATAAAGAAAAATTAGTTGGGAAATCTTTTAAGAACATCCATCTTTCAAGGGTTCCGCTTTTCCCCGACTTTCACACTTGAAAACCCATCCATATGAGGGATTCCTCCTTGGGAGCACTTCTATCCAGCATTCCGTCACAGAGAAATTACCCTGCAGCGTTCAAGGCAATGTCCTGTGGCTTTTTCAAGCATCAGTTACTCGGGCACATTTCAACGCCTTGCCATGGAAATATTTTTCATTTTTTGTTCCCCCTTTTTGCCCACATGCCGGGCGTCCAGGGGGCAGGGCACTTCAGCCAATGAAATGTGCCCGGTTGGTTGCTTTTTTAAGTGTCACCCCCTCCTCCTCCCCAGAGGAAAATATTATCAGCATATTTCCAGGGGCTCGACGAGTGTGCGTACTGAGCTGTGGCTCTACAACCCCCACCCCTGGGGGGGGAATATTAAAATGAAGGCCTGCCCCGTTTTTTATGCATGTAAATCAACCCCTTTTTTATGGGAAGCTTATTCAAATGGCGCCACAGAGAGTGTTAGATATCAGGGGATGACACTGTAAACAAAAAAGGGTTGCTGTGATTCCCCGACGAGCCGCTTATGTAAATGCGAGAGAGTCAACCCTTTGCCCAGGGGAAGGCTTGAGTCTGTGATTGGTTCTTGGCCCAAGATTTAAATATATAAAGCCCACAAAATGGTGTCCCAGTGCTAGATATTTATGGGGTTTAAGAGGAGATTTTGAGCCCAATAATCCTCTGTTTTTTACCTTTAGAAATCCCCTCTAAAAACCCCCTTCCATTGTTGTCTCTTTTTGCAGTTGAAGACTTTAAATTTGAGCCCAGTGAACCGCATGTGGTGGCCGTGAATGAAGCCATCCTAACGAGCCCCCGGTCTGTGGCGAACAAAGATGAAACTTTGACTGCTGTTGACACAAATATGCGCGATGTCAGCGCAAATCACAGCAGCAGCTCCTGCGGCTCCTCCCCAAGCTCCCAGTCGAGGGCATCCAACGAGACGATGGAACACGATGATGGCCAAGAAGACAAGAAGCCAACGCTTCAATTGAAGCTGCAGTCGTGTGATGAATACTCGTATGTTGAGCGGCCAACGGCAGACAATGCCCCATCGCCTGTGCAGCTGAAAGCGGAGCCCCAACACGAGGAGGAGCAGGCAGACCAGGGACTGGGAGCAGCATTTCCTCTCTACGGACACTTGAACAATGCCAGCAAGGATGTGAGGGACCTGGAGCAATGCCTGAAATTGCAGGACCCAAATGGTGAGTACCCCAAACAAGACACCAAGGAAATTGAAGTCGAGCGAGAGAGGCAATGGTAGAGAAAAAGTCCTATAAACTTTAATCGAGTTCCAGGCAATATTTCACACTGCTGCATGCCGCATTTCCCCTCTCCAGCCTCCCTGCCAGCCCTCTTTCTTCGTCCCAATTACCCTAAACAAATACTTCATTAGCCAACTGTCCTTCGGCCTGTGTCCAGCCTCGAGAGATGCAAAAAGATTGCAAAACTCGTGGGAAACTGTGGCTGCAACTATCCTTGATTTATACACACATTTTTTAAGGAGGAAGTAAAGAATGAAAGAAAGAAAGCAGGCCCGCAATTAAGGAAACTCGCTATAAAACTCCAAAAATAAATACAACTGCCCCTCGAGCAACCCCTGGCAGGGAAAACCCAACAATTTTCATGCTAAAAATTGCATAAAAAAGCGGAAAAAAAACGAACGGCAGTTGGGGGGTAGGTAAACGCCTCGCATTGCCGCATATATGCATATCGGGGGCTACCTGAGCCCCTGAGGGGTGTCAAATGCCAGCCCGAGTACCGTAACGTAACGTGTTTTTCCTTAGCATTTCCCAATTTCCATTGTGTTTTGTTTTTTAAGGAACATTTCCTTATCGCGGAGGGCAGGCAGGCAGGCCAGGCAGGCAGACAACGCAATTGATTTTCTCTTATTTTTCTACACAAAAAACAACCCGAGGATTGCGCTCAAAGGACATGAATAAAAATCAAAAGGAATGTCATTGAATGTCATCCTTGAGACATCATTGATTCGGTGCTTCATCATGTTACCCAAAACAAAGGGACTCTGAATCGGAATCGGAATCGGAATTGCCATTGGAGATACATATGTAAAAAAAAAAAAAAGAAACAGCATCTGAGGGGAAAGATGATGCCAAGGATCATGAATAATTCTCGTCTGCAGCCATCAGCTTTTCCGCCCTCTCGCAGCCACCCCTCTGCGGTCCATCCCCAAGCTGAAAATTTTCCTGCAATTTACAGCGAAATTGTGACGGGATTTTAAGAGCTGCTTAGCCGTTGATTAAAACGAGGGACAAATTTAATTAACGCCCCTGCACAAGGGGGTGAAAAGGGGTCGCAAAATGCTCTCTCCCTTGGGGTGCAGAAAATGCGAAAAACTGTGCGAAAAATGCCATTTTTGTCGTGAAAAATTATTCAGAAATAAATTTAAAGGAAATGCGATTTTGGGGTGGAAATAAAATTAAAAAAATAAATGAAAAATAGTTGGGGCATAGCCTGGAATCCTTTTATAAAATATATATTAAATGCCTTTCCTTGCACATAAAATTCAGTTTCCTTTAGCCATTAATCAATGAACTAGAATCTTAAGCCCCCCCCAAAACCCGCAAGAACAAACCCCAAAGAGCTGCCGGCCAACATGTTTGTAGACCCAAAAGACTTTACGACTTCATCGGGCATTTCTTTCGCTCTTTTTCCCAAACCATTTACCAAGTACACTCCAAACGGAGAAACGCATTCGAAAATTTCCCTTTCCTTTGGTTCGTTTTTAATATTTTCCGGCTGGCCCAATAAAAAGGCTGTTGGCCAGGTTCAACTCTTCTTTGGCCTTTTTTTATGATCTTTGCCTACATTGACTTAAGTAATTCTCGGCAGAGAAAGGCCAAGGACGCCTCTCGCCAGGGCGGGACAGAGACGGAGATACAGGGAGAAGAGAGCCGACAAATGGTTTTGATACTTTTTATGGACACGCACAGTGGGCCACATGCGCCGAGACACAGTTTGAGTTTCACGCAAATAAAAAAGTCAAACGGTCAGAAAGTCAAAGAAATCGTAGGGCGAAGGTGGAGGCGACGAATTGATACCCTGTGAGGGATGGACAGGGCTGCTATAAAGGGAGGCGGAGGCGGGTGTAAGGGGATGGATCTTTGGGCATTCTTTGGTTGGGAAAAACGGCTTAAATATCATACTGGAAGCAGTATTCGAAAAGAGTTGTTGGGTACAAGAAAACGTCTATGAAATCAATCAAATATATCCCCTATAATATCTATCTATTGTGTAAAAACTTTGGCTTTGGGAGATCGTCGTCGAAGTCTTGCCGTATTTTACTCGTTTTGGGGCGAGTGAGCCTGGGGTAGGCGCATGGGTCTTGCCCTCTAAAGTCTAAAGAACTCTATATTCCCTTAAATATGCATCAATTTAGTTCCAAAACATTAAATTCAGTATAATCCTCCTTCAGTATCTCCCACCTTAAGAGGCTCCTCTCGCACTTGGCTCACAATCCACCCTCAAGCCTCATCTACCCCCAGTACCCTGTAGATAGACCATCACGATTGCGGGGTTTTTAACAGCTCCTTGCGAACGTGAGAGAGCGGATAACCAGTAGTCCAAGTCGAAGTGGTCCATTGCCTTTTGGGCTAATTAACATGTAGACTCACAGACCAGGGCTCAGGATGCTGGCCCGACTGACCGACTGACCGACCGACTGACCGACTGACTGACTTGCATCCTGGCATACAAAACGTATCGAATGTTTTTTATGATTTACTTGGAAATCGACTCCGTTTACAGCGTCCAAAATGCGTCGTAAAAAAGATGCCAAAGAGCGCGAAATATCCAGGCCCGAACCATAGGTGGCTATCATTGATGGAAGCATGTCAGGACCCAAGCCAGCGATTGCTCTCTCTCTCTCTCTCTCCCTCTCGCGTACTGCTTTTCTTACCTGTTTGTAATTTTTTCGACTTTTTATGACTTTGTAACTATTTTTTATGATTTGGCCGTCACAAAAAGATATAATATAAAAAAATGTCTGCATTGGTCGGCGGCAGGGCAGGTAGTACTCGACGTTTGGGCTAGTTTTTTATGGGAATATGGAAGAGATTTCCTCGTTGTGCTCGCCTTGAAATTTGACTTTTTCATTATAATTCGTTTGTCTCTTCATTTCCAGTTCTTTGGAATATAAAATTGGGATAATTTTCGGAATATTTGTTTATTAAAAATCTTCAAGATTCAGAGAAGGAATCACGGCCCTGGGAAGTCAATAAAAAATGGGTTTAACGATTACTTTCCTTGGGATTTTCAGGGGACATTTTTGAAAAGTAGAGAATACAAGAATATAAGCCACAAATCATTCATGAATTTATTTTAATTAATTTATAAATTTATAGCAATTATTTCGGAAATATTCGGCTAAATCGACGTTAGATGGTAATCAATAAATAAAAATGGGTTTAAAAATGTCTTTCCATATGGTTTTTAGTGGAAATTTGTGAAAAATTTCACAAATCATTCACGAATTAATTTAAATAAATTAATTTACAGTATTTGGCAATTTTATTGGTAATGTGTGTATAAATATTCAGCTATATCGACGTTAGATGGAAGTCATTCAATAAAAATGGGTGCATTCATTGAAGATTTTTTTAAGATAGAGAAATATTTAAATTAATCGCAATTATTTTGAGAATTTTACATAGAAATGGGTTAAAAAATGTCTTTCCCTAGGGTTTTCAGTGGAAATGTTTGTAAAATGTGGAACGTAAGCTATGAAGGATTTTTGAATTTATTTAAATTATTTTTTATCCTTATCCTTTTATCCTTTGTACTGCGAGTCCAAAATGGGCATAAAAACGTATTTCCTTAAGATTCTATTTGATTTTTGTGAATAATTTCTAATAAATTTATCTCAATTAATTTGTATGGTCGATATTTTTTATTAAAAATTTTAAATATTTTAATTTGCACTTTCTTGGAAATTACCGCAAATTCTATTAATTGTGCAGTAGGACGATTTGTCATCATAAAAGTCGCGTTTTGCTCGTGAAAAATAAATATAAAAACCAAAGAAAAACCAAAAACAAATCATAAAAATAATAAAAATCAACAAAGAGTGCAAAAGAAAAGCAAAGAAAATGCTCCCAAGTGGTTGGCAAGGGCTGGAAGGGGGGAGGGGAGGCATCCGCACATGTGTGCATACATGAATGGCAAATAAAATGCGAATGCCGAGAGGAAGGCAAGAACAAAGAGCAACTGACGAGGAAAGAGACGTCGCCGACGACGACGACGACGACGACAAAGCTTTCGTTGGAAGGGGGGATTGCGGTTGGTGCGGGGGGCGATGATGCTGCTGCAGTCAGCGTCGACGTAGCTTTAAAATATTTTTACATAGCTCACACACACACACAGACACCCGTGAGTGAGTGAGTGAGTGAGAGAGAGGGAGGTATACACGCGCCAATCATAAAATAATATGCATACATACCCTCACACACACACACACACATGGGGAGAAAAAGTGGCACCCAGCATAAAAAATCCATTTCGATTTGAAAGCGAAATTTAAATTTTAAGCCACACCCCAAACAAGCGCACGCATGTCGCACACACACACACACACACGCATAACAATGGAGCCCACACCACACGAACGAAACGAACGAACCACAACCGAGTGGATACCCCCCCTCCCCCTGCCCAGACCAAAGGAGAAGAACAAATTTTAAAACGTATAAAACGTGTGCGATTGTGGATGGTGAGCGCGCATTTTACAATCCACTCGGAAAACTCACTCACTCACACGCACACACACGACCGAAACGAAACTCAATTGAGAGAGCGCGAATGAGAGTACGTTCCACAAGCACACACACACACAAACGACACTCAATGGCAGACAGGGGAGTGTGGAACTCATTTCTAACAAGCCTTCAAACGAGCCAACGGTAAATAGATGAGAGCGAGTGAGAGAGAGCGAGAGAGAGTGAGAGATAGAGCGAGAGCGCGCTCTTCTGCCGCTCTGCCACAAAAGCTCCGAGTGTTCCGAGTGCATTCGACGCGTCTCCGTGAAACCAGTTAAACGTGTGGAGCGCATCATCGTCTCCATCGGGGGGGCCAGTTTTTTATTCGTTTCGTTTCCCCTCCCCCCAAAGCGCTTTTTACGACGTGCGTGTGTGTGAGGGCTTAAAAAAAGCCAAAATCAACCCTTACTCGTATTTTGGGGTGGCAATAGCTGCCACACACAGTCCACACACAGTTTTGGGCATAAAAATACACCAAAAATATTCAACTCAAAATCCGAGCCGGCACAGAACGAGTGACAGAGAGGGCGAGAGCATAGAGAAAGAGAGGGAGAGAGCCGTCCATCATCATCATCGTCAGCAGCAGCAGAGCGAGCGGGCGAGCGAGCGAGCGGCGACGGCCTACAGCGATTATCCGTTAGTAGAGAGGCATCCTGACCGCTGCGGCCGTTTCTCTGTTGTCAGTTTCACACGAAACGCTCACGAACTCGGTTGGACGCTAGAGACGACCGGCGCTTATCTAACAAATGACTCTAAGAAATAACAGTAATCAGTAATCAGCAGCCAAAGAACCGCTAGAACACAGTGCAAAAAGTGCTTGAAGAAGAGACCCCAAAAACTATTTGTGATTTCAAAGTGAAAGAAAGAAAGAAAGAACATATCTCCTCCTCCTCCTCCTTCCCCACCAAACACATCCCCCCCCCAAGTACGATATAGATACTATATCTAAAAGATATATTAAACAAAGCGACAAGTGAAAATGGTTATGTCGGAGCTACGTTGGCATACGAGTCCCGAGGATAATAGTAATTCCTTGAAGCGTGACTTGCTGAAGACCACACCGACCAGTGCCCGCGAGGCAGCCGTGCACATAATGCAGAATCGATGTAAGTTGAAAAACCCCCCATAGATCTTAGGGGAAAGCGTGGAGGGGATTAAGAGTCAATAGGATTTTAGTGGTGGGTAAAAGTAAACTATTGGGAGTTTCTAGAAGGAAAAGGCTTATATTCCCAAGAAATAGTTACTGATATCATGCTTTAAATTCCTATAAACGCGAAGTAGTGACTGCCCTAAGCTGCTTTTAGGCTTATTAATTACAAATCACTTGAATTAATTCAATATAATGGCCCCAACGCCTACCCATTCCAACGAATACCCTCGAGGCTTTTGTGGACTTAGTTAAAGGCCTATCATGCAGGTCTTTCCCCTTATGGGAGTACAATAGGTCTTAAGTAGAAGGAAGAACCTCTTTCAGGCAGGTCTCTTCATCCAGCAGATCCACAACTGAAACCCAGTCGAGAACCCATTCGAAACCCCGACACCCTCAAGTGCTTGGCACCCACAACCACCCAGAACCCAGAGAACCCAGAACTAGCTAGAAAAACAAAGTATTATATTGTATAAAACAATGCAATGCCTGGCACAGGTGTCTCTGCCATAAATAATAAACTACCGGCGACCCACTTCTAGACCCTGGCAGTGCCAGGCGAGAGTATTACAAATGTGGAGACCATAAAAATATTTATTAAAGACGCATTTCTTGCACAACACCACACAAAATATGACCATGTAAATGGGGTACGACTACGAGTACGATGGCTGGTGCCTGGTGGCGATGGGCACTCAGTGGAACCGCTTGGGCCATTGTAAACAATACTTTGAATTTGTTGCCTTATCAATTAACGTTTTCAAGACGCCACAGAGCCATAAAAAAGAGCAATGCGATGACAAATCATTGATCAAGCGGGTTGAAAATGGGAAAATGAGCCACGAAGAGGCCTTTGATTGATTCTGCACTTCCGATGAGAGTAATTTCGGTAGAGGGCCTACGATAAGGGGTCTTCAAGCCCTTCCGTTTCCATTTACTGCGTGCTGCTGTACCTTCGGCACCTTCCTGCAGTTCCCTCCGCAGTGCCTCGAACACGTGACGCAGGTGATTCGTCCGTAATCTGGCAATGGCTAATATATGTCTCATGATATGCATACAAGAGCCTTGCCCGCCTTGCCTGCCTTGTACAAGGCGATTTGCTTATCGCCCTCTTATCAAGCTAATATTTTTTTTGCACACCTGCAGAACGTAACAAATCGAAGAGTAAACAAGTTTCGTCATACATTTCGTAGGTTTTCCTCGCCAAAAACTAGCCACACAATCAGTTTTAAATTAATATATATTTATTTGAGCGATTAGAGAAGTCGGCAATAGGCCGATTCCCGCACAGAACACAAAAAAAAACTTGACCAATCGCATTATTTTTAGTCACGGAGTCCATGAGCTCATTCCCGGGACCGGGACTCTTATCACCCACTTATAGCCGTAAAACACCGATCAAGAAAGAGGGGCGTGTGTTGGCCCGGTTTATGGCCAATTCTTGGAAAACCAAGAAAAGGAAATAAATGAAAAATCGATTAAGATTTACAATTGCCAAAGCGGAAACGATTGATTGATTGAAAATGCAGTCCGTCGTTAGATCGTTAAGGTTAATGCAATGATGATTAGGGGGAGGGTTCTATATAGGAAGGCTTTGAGGGATCTTAAAAGGTCTTATATGTGGGATATATAAACATTCTAAGGAATACTTTGCTTACAAAAGACGAATCCTTCAAGCTTAATGCCTAAGAGCACCTTTTGGCTAGTATCCTTCCCTGACAGTAGCCCATTTCCATCCCAAATCGGCTTCCCTTGAATCATATTCCTCTCAAATCTTAAACAGAGTTTCCTGCAGCCTCCCCCCTGCCTTCCCTTCCAGCTCCATCGAGCTCCAATCAAGCTTTCATTTCGCCGCATTTTGAGCTTTCTCTCTCTCTCTCTTTGCTAGTTTTGTTTTGCTACGAATATCCCTGCCAAGACAAAAGGCACAAAAGCGCACGCACATTACATATCTGCTTCGCCTTTCATTTTATTTTATTTATTTATGTTTTTTTGGCTACTCTTCGAGGCTACCCCCCTACCCCCCTACCAGCCATCCAGCCATCGCAGACCATTCAGGTTCCGTCCAGTGTGGGGTCAAGAGTTCAAGACACGCAGCTTCCGCCGTCGACGACGACGACTCAATCGATAGTCAGTCTGCGCACGTGATGTCCGCCGTCTATAGCATATAGAATGTGTGCCTGGCCTCTCCTCTCCTCTCCTCTCCTCTGTCTGTGTGTGTGTCCGTGTGGGTGGACACCCACCCCCAGCCAGGCCAAACAACTGTCGAGGTCATTGACTAATTGTGTGCGCCACACAACTCCCCCTCTCCCGCCACCGCCATCATCATCATAACCCTCTGGAGCGCCACCCCCGCTGTGCAATTCTCTAAAATTTTATTTATTTTCCTTTGGGGGTGGCTGCGGTTTTTCCGCAATTTCTCTGCCAAAAACTGTAAAATTCTGAAAACAAACGCCGCCGGATTCAAATGTTGCTCATTTCACTCGTGCTGGACACGCGCGAAGGGTGTCGAATGCACCCGCACCCCCACCCCCTCTCCATCCCCGTTTCGGGCTACATAATTTATGTGGCATTTTAACGCCGAGTTTTTGAACCTCCATTCGGATCGGCCCATATGCCACACACACACACTCGCACACCACTTGAGTGGCAACAGTTGTTGTTGTTGCTTAATTAGTGGAGCAAAGGCGTGGCAAAAGGGCGACAGAAGTGTGCCAGAAGTGCAGGAAGGGAAGGAAAGGAAGGGAAACTATCGTTTAAGAAGGGATTCAAAGAGCGGGGAGGGACATCTTCTACAGATAGTTCCTTGTATGCCTCTGTATTTTCTTGGGAGTACCTAGAAGAAGAGAAAAAGGTGTTCTATTGGAAGGAAAACTCACTTTTAGGCAAGAGAAAGAAGTGCAGAAATGTCCACTAAGTGAAAGGATACCTTTACCTGGAAGAATTCGTAATTTTTCCTTAAGAAACATAAAATACAAATAAAATAGTGGTTAGTATTAACTTTCCTATAGGTTTAGAGCACCGTAGAGATCCAAGAACATTCTAAGCCTGAAAAGAAATCCAAAACCCATCGAAAAATACCATAATCTTCCCCCCTCCATATACCATATCCACCAACTGTTCGAATAGAAGTCAATTTCGAATGCATTTCAGAGGAGAGTGTCGTAAATTAGCCAAAGAGAGAGAGGCAGGACCCAGCCCCAACGAAAATTCAATTTCTCTAGTCGTAAAAAAAAAGAAATGCAGTCTGTGGATGTGCCCTGCTTCAAAATTCAAATCGTACACGGGTCCACAGCCGAGACCAGGTGTTCCTTGAACTGTGCTCTTTCAGGGGTGGCCCCTTGAGGAGGCCCATAAAAATATCCTTTTATAGGACACTGTCTGGACTTTGGACACTGCACGGCACTGCACTGCACTGCTGGTAATTTTTAGCTTAAAATGTATTTCGATATCGATTTTGTGTATCGTAAACTTGAGCCGTTTTCTGGGAGCGTTTCGTCCGTTTCCATTTTATGCTCGCGACGTGTGTCGTCGTCGGTCGTCGGTCGTCGGTCGTTGGGTGTTTTCCTTTTAGCTTTAAGTGGGTATTTTTTCGCTGTCTAAATATTTCCTCATTTCCCCCCCTCCTGTTTCCTCTGTCTCTTTCCAGATATCAGCCGCCTGTCGCGCTCGCCGTCGCCACTGCAATCGAATGGTAAGTGTTTCATTTCGTTTCGTTCCCTTTCGTTCCTTTCCCCATTTAGAACCATCAGCTGTTGTCCGAGCCTGAAAAACGATTTACGAGATTTGTCCACTCCACTCTCGAGTATCTCGAAACATCTGCTCTTGAGCCGGAGTAGGGGTTTCCCTAAATCACTCGCATGTTTTCGGTTTCAACCAAAAAAAGACAATAAACCCGAAAATCAACCCTTGCCACGCGCTGGCCATCGATACACTTTAAGGGACTAGCATTTAGATCTATGGGGGGGATGGGGGTTGCTTAGGGAGAGGGTCCTTCCCTGTCAAAACTTTTGTCACAGCCCTTTCGGCTCTGATTTAATGGCGGGAGTGCACGGAGAGAAGGGAGAGAGATCTTTAAGTCGTTTTTGATGTCTTATTAAATGGGTGTTTCGACTTAACAGCTTCTCAAGTAGTGGCTGAGGTGACAATGGGGTTCAATTGGTTGCCAGCCCTTTAATTGTGTGTGGCTATACATTTTTGATGGTCTCATAAAGTCCATCAGTCGTTTATTATTCATAACTCGTTCTCGGCCAGGAGGCGGCCTTCAATTTGCAATTCACACTTTTCAAATTTCATGGACTTCGTTAGTCACGGTTTTCGGTCCCTTATATTCTTCCTTCTTCCCTCTTTTTGCACCACATTATTGACAGCATTTCGCTTGATTTGAATTCTCATGTGAGGGCGTGTGTGTCCGGGTCCGTGGCCGTGTCCGTGTCCCTGTCCGTGTCTGGGTCTGGACACAGTTGCTGTGATTTCTTTCACGGACTTGAGCATATATCTATATGTATTCGGGTATCTATATGTATATTTACATATATTTTATGCAAAAATTATTCCGTTCCAGCTGTATGTGGGAGCATCTTTTTTTTCGGGCTAGCCTCAATCTGCAGTCAAACTGGCCATTTGGCTTTGGCTTTGGCTCCTTTTCTTTTTATTGGTTATACCAAATGAAACAGGGGCGTAGTTGGCTGAGGGGGTTTCTCCTTTATAAGGGGTACAGATTGGAGGTTTCAGCGGTGCTGGATGGAGAGGAAGGAGCCTGTTTTTTCGTGTTTGGGATGGAAAAATGGCACCTTTTTATATACCATAATTATTCTTTGCATTATAAAGACTTTTGGTAGTTTTTTCTTCACTTAATGTACACAATATTTATTCCAAAAAATTCTCAGATATATTTATAAAAAACTGTTAGTCTTTTTAGCTATCCATCAACTATATATCCTTCCGTAACTCGACTTCTGATCATTATATCTCCATCAAACTTCTTTGATTCTATCTAACCCCTCCAAAAACACCTCTCGAATAGCCCACCGTTCAAACCCAAGTATAATCATAATATTTCCTTCCGTAACTCGACTTCTAATCATTATATTTCCATGAAATTTCTTTGCTACATTCTATAAATATATATCCTCCAAAAACATCTCTAAAAGAACCCTCTCCTGGTTCCACCGCGAGAATAATCATAATATTTTCTCCCATAACTCGACTTCTGATCAATATATTTCCATCAAACTTCTTTGATTCTATCTAAACCCTCCAAAAACACTCCTCAAAGAACCCACCGCTTCCTAGTTCCACCTCAATCATAATATATCCTCTTATAACTCGACTTCTGATCATTATATTTCCATCAAACTTCTTTGTTTCTCTGTATCTATACAAACCCTCCAAAAACATCTCCGAAAGAACCCCGCTTCCTCCTCCTTTAACCCTCTTTTCAAGCCCCGAACTATCCCTGGCCACCCTTCTATCGGCCATCGTCCATCGCCCACGCCACTGCCTTTGGCCATTCACACAACACATACAAATCGAATTTGCACATCATCTGAATACCAAATGGACGCACGTAGCCCTCCAGCTCCTCCTGCCTCTCGATGGACGCATATGTAAAAAGGATGACCATGTGGTCGGTCGCCCACTTGGGCGAATAAGTCATCAAATTCGCATAGCATCCACCACCAGAGAGAGAGCCAGCAGGGAGCAGGGAGCAGGCAGGCGGTGGTCGAGTCATAAAGTAGCCAGAACAAACATATGCAAAAATTGCCTGCATTGGACAGGATGTGGACCCCAGAGCCAGAGCCAGACCCAGACCCAGGGACCACTTCAAAGGGTTCACACAAGAGGGAGGAATGTTTTCTAGTTCCCGGTTCTAGATCCGAAAATGAACTCGTCCCGTATTTAAATATTATTGCAAATCAATTGGGGCGCCCCCCCCGAACAGGGGTTTTCTGCTTGAATCCACTGTGGACTCGCCTTTCTTTTGTATAAATAAAATGCATACAAATAGCAAATTTATACGAATCGCTTGGCCCGGCCATTTGAAATGCTAAAATGCCACTTAAAAGCAGCTAAAAGCGTCAGACGAAATGAAAAGAAAACACGGGAATTCCATTTGATGTCAAGGTGGAACTATGTAAACTATGGACCAGCCTCTCGGCCGCCCAGCCTCTCTCTGAGGGGGCAGGGGGGCGGGAGAGAAAGGGTACACGTACGTGGGGAGCCGTGGGTGGGTGAAAGAAAGGCTTTCACCCGAAGCCAACCGACTATGAAATTGAAAAGAAAATTATACAAAACGCTCGGCCGTGGCCTAGGCCAAATTTATGCAAAAGGACACTCGAAACGGAGTCCGTTTTTGCATAGCCTTGAATATCTTTCCTCTGGGTTACTCCTTTTCTTTTTCTTCATTTGATTTTGGTTTAAATCTATTGATTTATTGGCCCGTTCCCCCCGCCCTAACCGTTTTTGATCTCCTCTCCCCCTCGCCCCTTGCAGCCTCCGATTGCGATGACAACAACTCGAGTGTCGGCACCTCCAGCGACCGCTGCCGCTCGCCCCTGAGTCCCGCCCTGTCGCTGACCCACCAGCAGGCCAAGCGCCAGCTGCTGTCGCTGCCCCATCCGGCCCACCACCACCACCACCACCACCACCACCATCTGAACCACCTGAACCACCACCAGTACAAGCAGGAGCCGGATCAGGAGCCGGAGCAGGAGCAGGAGGACTACGAGGACGCCAATGGCGGTGCACTGAACCTGACGAGCGACAATTCGCGGCACAGCACCCAGTCGCCGGCCAATTCCGTAAAGTCCACGATCGTGTCGCCGGCGCCGGTGGCCGTGGCCTCGCCAGTGCCGCCCATGATCTCGCCCGTGCTGCCGCTGCCCCATGTGGCCAGCGGGGGAGGCTCCACGCCCACCTCGATGGCGGCGGCGGCCGCCGCAGCCGCCGCAGTGGCCAGCGGCATGTCGCCCCTGCTGGCCATGCCGGGCATGTCCTCGCCGCAGGCCCAACTGGCGGCGGCCGCCGGCCTGGGGCTGAACAATCCGCTGCTGGCCGGCTCGCTGTCCCCCCAGGACTTTGCCCAGTTCCAGCAGCTGCTGCAGCAGCGGCAGGTGGCCCTCCAGCAGCAGTTCAACAGCTACATGGAGCTGCTGCGCAGCGGATCGCTGGGCCTGGCCCAGGACGATCCCGCCCTGACCACCCAGGTGGCGGCCGCCCAGTTCCTCATGCAGAGCCAGCTGCAGGCCCTCGGCCAGGCCACCCAGCAGCTGCAGGCCCTCCAGAAGCAGCAGCAGCGCCAGCAGCAGCAGCAGGAGGACTCCTCCATGCCCCTGGCCCTCCCGCTGAGCAAGACGAGCCACCACCACCCGCACCACCAGCAGCCGCGCAGCTCCACGCCCCACTCGGCACGCAGCCCCATCGCCGTGCGCAGTCCAGCCAGCTCCCCGCAGCAGCTCCACCATCCGCTCCAGATCACGCCGCCCAGCTCGGCGGCCAGCATCAAGATGAGCGGCGGCATGCTGACCCCTAGCACCCCCACCAGCGGCACGCAGATGCACGGCACCACCACGCCGCAGCCCAAGACGGTGGCCAGTGCGGCGGCCGCCCGGGCCGCCGGCGAGCCCTCCCCCGAGGAGACCACCGACCTCGAGGAGCTCGAGCAGTTCGCCAAGACCTTCAAGCAGCGCCGCATCAAGCTGGGCTTCACCCAGGGCGACGTGGGCCTGGCCATGGGCAAGCTCTACGGCAACGACTTCTCGCAGACGACCATCTCGCGGTTCGAGGCGCTCAACCTGAGCTTCAAGAACATGTGCAAGCTGAAGCCCCTGCTGCAGAAGTGGCTGGACGATGCCGATCGCACCATCCAGGCCACGGGCGGAGTCTTCGATCCGGCCGCCCTGCAGGCCACCGTCAGCACGCCGGAGATCATTGGGCGGCGGCGCAAGAAGCGCACCTCCATCGAGACCACCATCCGCGGGGCACTCGAGAAGGCCTTCATGGCCAACCAGAAGCCCACCTCGGAGGAGATCAGCCAGCTGGCCGATCGCCTGGGCATGGAGAAGGAGGTGGTGCGCGTGTGGTTCTGCAACCGGCGGCAGAAGGAGAAGCGCATCAATCCCTCGCTGGACAGTCCCACGGGCGCTGACGATGACGAGTCGTCGTCCTACATGATGCACTAGAGGCCCGAGGCAGGAGGAGGATATCCAGGGACAAACAGAGTGCAATGTGCGCAGGACACACGAGGAGGCAACACGAAGAGCAGGTAAAATATTTGATCTTTGATCTTTCCATTCTCCATGCATTTCCCATATTTAAACCACCTTTCCCTCCTTTTTCTTTGGCCAAAACCTCCTCTAACGATGGACTTTCCTCTGCTCTCTGTTCTTCCAGGTTCAAAGTCGCAAACACATCAAATATTAGCCTAATTCTTGACTACGATTGGGGGCCGCCCACTCCCCCCACACAAAGAAATGGGGGCGTTTGTTTATGTTAACTATTAATGGATCGTATTTATTGCATGGAAAAATCAACCAAAAATATTGCTAATCAAGTGAACGGCTGCTGATCGACGGCTCCGCCGTTCACTCGATCACCGACTTTTTTGGGAGGCCATAGGGAAATCGATAGACGATAGCCGATAGGCAAATCACTTCGATTTCCCTTTGGCCCTGTACTACGTGGCGTCTGTGTATTATTAATATTTAAGTACAGTCTCTGCACAATTTTCAAAGTCAACAAAATGAATTCCTAGCGAATATCTATACAAAAAAAATATATATAAAATATTTGAATCGTTCCCTAAAAAAAACAAAAGCAAGGTACATTTTTAAGCATATTTATTTTTCGCGTGAATACTGTGATAATCAATTTGAATGATTTTAATTTTAATTCAACAAAAAAAAAACACAAAAGAAAGCAAAAAAAATTGTATGGTTAAACTAGATGTAATTTCTATTTTATGGGCAAGTAATTAACAACAAAATACAACTGAAATTTGTCGTAAAAACAATTTGAATTTATTGAAAAAACCAACATTTATTATTGTAAAATGTATAAACGAAAAACACATACTAATAGAATTTTTAAATGTATAATTACAAAAAAAAAAAACAACGGAAAGAAAAACCAACGCAAACAAAAATTAAATAAAAATAATTATCAAACAGAAAGCAAGGAAATATTTTTTATTTTTCAAAAGAAGTTCTGGGAGGGGAAAAAAATAAATAAAAGCAAAAAAATTAAAAAAGAAAAGTTAAATATACAAATAAATAAAAACAAAAAATTAAAAAAGGAAAGCTAAAAATATACAAAAAAATAAAAAAAATAATAATATACCAAAAAAATGTACAATAAAAATTGAAAAAAATATACAACAAATTAAAAAAAGTTAAAGAATACAAATTTAAAAAAAAATATAAGAAAAAAATTTAAAAAAGTTCAACAATAAAAATTTAAAAAAAATAAACAATACAAATTAAAAAAAAATTCAATATTAAAAAAAATACAAAATAAAAAAAATACAAATTAAAAAAATAAATAATCAATAAAAATAAAAATTTTTATCAAACAAAATACAAAGAAATAATTTTGAATTTTTCAAGAAAAGTTCTGGGAGGAGAATCAAAATTTAAAAAAATAATTATCACACAAAATACAATAAATATTTTTTGAGTTTCCCAGAAAAGTTCTGGGAGGGGAGTGTTTTTATATTTACAAAAATATGTATCTGCAAAGTCAACTAAGAAGAAATACAGATACCAGCTACAGCTACAGTTGCAGATACCAATCTGTAGAGTAAAAGAAAAATGCTTTTGAAATTAGTTCAGCGGCTGATATGAAAGGGAATCATCGGATGGAATCGCAAGTGTTTCGAGGCCCGCAGTCGGGTAAAAACGCAAGGCCTGAAAATTTTAATAAATAACAACATGCAAAACTGAAATTAATTCATGGAATTTCCCCCCGCTCTCTCGTCTCCGTCCGAGTTCTCTGAGCTCTGAGCTCTGTCTCTGTCTCTGGTTCTGGTCAAGTGAGGGAAGGCGCGTGCAGAGCTAATAAGAAACAGACACCCGCAGTACCGACTGGTACTGGTACTGGTACTGGTCCGATTCGATCTCATGACCAAGATACGAGTATATCAGCATGCAGATGAGCCTGACACGACGAGGGGCAACCTGGGTCAGAGCTCTCAGAGCTATCAATGGAGAGCCGACAGAACAAAATGAATTCACTGCGATTTGGATAGGGCGGCGGCAACGACGAGTCGTCATTGTCGCTCGGAGGCTTTGAGCAATTAAAAACGGTTGGTGGCAAGTCGAAAGTACAGTGGAGATTCGCTAAGGCAAAAGGAAGGCTTTGGAGTCCCAGGGAAAGCCCTTTTCGCCAATCCCCACTTTACTCATTAGCAGGGCCCACAGCCACAGCCACGGACACGACACATACGCAAATGATGCCACACCATGCCCCAGCCCCCGCCCCCCTCCATCCCCCCCGCCAGGGCTCACTTGTTTGCATGAAAAGCGCATAATCATCGCGTGTCATGTGGAAATTTATACTATTTATGGTCTGTTTGTTTGTACTCAGAGATGGCATCGAATGGAATGGTTTTCTCGGGGCTTTGGGCTGTGGGGGGGGGGGGTTGGGGGTTGATTCTTCCCGCTAATAAATTCATGGAAAATTGCCAGTAATTACGGGACAAGCGACGACCATTTCACAGGAATTCTGGTGCCCTTCAGGGGGGCTGCCAAAAATTTGCATATGTGTGAAAATTGCGGCTCGTAAACCCCATTAGAGCGAGCATCCAACATTGTAGATGGTTGGCGATAAATCCTATGGGCCCCCAAGTGCGGAGACCCCCGATTGCCGTTTCCCATGAAACTTTCTAAGCTCCACGAAAATTGTGAATATTCATATTCCGCAGCCAAAGCCAAAGCCAAAGTTCTTTCTACATGCTTAAATCGGGTCTGAATTATACAAATTAAAGCGCATTTAATTATACGGCAGGGAATTATAGCTTTAAGGTGATGGGTCGCCCATCGCCCCATACCCTTCCCCATACCCTTCCCCATACCCTTCCCCCCCATTTAAACACTTGCCACAGCCTGCCGCTTGTCTCCTTGTCATGCAGTGGCATCAAAGACATCAAAAACTAACCTGAATGAGGCATAAATTTCTGCTCTTTGCTGCAACTTTCTAGTGAATATAGTGAAAAAAATCTGCAATGCATTGCATTTTAGTTGGAATTGCTTAATTTATCAGTTCAGCACACAGTTGGCCCCCAAAGGGGGTGGGGCGAGGGGTTGGGGGGGCCACCGGTCCATGAATATGCATGGCGGAACCTGCCACTGCCACATTTTATTTCATTGCTGCATAGACGAGTGTTTTTCCTTCAAAGAAGGTGGGAAGCGGAGGGGGAGGGGGGGGGCCTAGAACCAGTCAACGCATCGAACGAATCACTCGATAGGGGCTCCGATTGGATCGTATAGGCCCTGCCTTCCACTGCCGCTCTGGCCCCCGAAGAGTCCCCCTTGGAATCAAAGATCAAGGCTCTTAAGGCTCTTGTTGCTCCTGTCTCAGGCCCTCTGTCGTGGTAGCCAAAGGTCCTGTAGTTGGCAAAGGCCACGCAATCGGAATCGGACTACAGCAACCGTCAAGACTCCTGTGGCTCTCGCACTGAATCAAGTTTGTGGCCAGTCTTTGCACATTTGAAACCGCAGATCACAGATTTGTGACACCCACAATTGTGACTAGACGAAAACGAAATCATATGGAAGGAAGATTACTATCTACTTTATTGTAGAGCTATGAGGAGCCAGAGGAAGCAGATACGAGCAGATGCATCTGGTATAGTGAAAGAGAAACACAAAACGCTTAGAGGAGTGCAGCAATATGTTGAAAAGGTACCATAAACCATAAGATGGCACAGAAAACCATCTAAGAGTCGGCTAGAATAGTGTCCCCACGTAAGAACTAGTGTTATATCCAGGGTATTATCTACTCAGGGCATGAAAAGTGCCCCTTAACACACTTTCCACTGGCCCACAGAGGCCTCAATATAGTGGTCTATTTGCTCTCTTACAAACCCCAATATCTGTTCCGTTCAGCTTCAGTGAGCCCAAAGCCTGAGTCATAACCGAACGCCACCCCCACCTCCCACCTCCCACCAATATTTGACCTCAAATGCAACTTCGATTGTGGTTCCAATCCGAATTGCATTTGCGTGTTTAATGTTTAATGAATGCAGACCACAGAATGCATGGCAAATCGAATGCCGAAAGCCTCGATGCCTGTGTTTGGGTCTGCGTCTGGGCCTGGTCAGGTGTTCCGCCCATGAGGCTGGCTAAATGTGTACAAATTATGCAAGTTTAATTTGCCTTCGACGGGCAGCGGAATACAATGAATTCAAGAGCGAAACAAAGAAGTCTAATTAGCATTCGGGCAATGCCTGCCAGCTCGAAGGAAAGGCCAGGAACCGAGGGACCGAGGAGCCGAGGGACCGAGGAGCCAATTTGTAAATTATATGAAAAGGTCGAACATGCAAACCACTTCCCGTGCCCCTGTCCGTGCCCCTGCCCCTGCCCCTGTTCCTGTCCCTGCCTTTCCGCCCTCCTGCGGTCATTAATTAAAAATTAGTTTTGTAAATATTTTGCTCGCCTTTTTGCGCAATTCGGTGCTCGTTGCCCGTTGCTCGTTGTATTCCTTCTTGAAATTAAATTGTTTTATAACGAAGTGTCTGTGACTTGCGAAGCGCAAAAGTGGCGCCGCCGCATCTCTATCCGGGGGCACGGCCGTCAGTTTCCCGCCACTTTGCATGCGATCATGCAATTGCCATCAGGCGGAGGCGGAGGTGGAGGCGGCCGAGTGGGATGCAGTGGTAACCCAACCCTACCTATCGCAGACCCATCCCAAACCGCCTCTAAGCTCATATTATTTGTGAATTTAATTTACGGCTTTAGACTCATTAAAGCCCGTGGCCATAGAATGTCTCTGATGGCCATCTTGGGATTGCCTAGGGAGCCGGGAACCAGGAAAGAGTTGAGCCAAGTGCAAGTCCCCCTCCCCCACCCCTCGCAGCCGACTCTCTTGGCTGGGTATGTTAATGCCGCTGTGCTGGAGGGGGGGAGGGGGTGGGTAGAGGGGGGGCCGTGTAGCAATAACACCTACTTCATTACAGGCGTTGCACAAATATAATGCATCATGATTTTTTTTTGCCTCATTGTAGCATTCTTTTACAATTCAGTGGACAGTGGGGCGAAAGGGTAAGCAAAAGCAGGTGGATGGATAGATATAAGGATAGATAGATAGATATATGGGCAGATAGATAGATAGATAGATAAATAGATAGATGCATATACGTATAGATAAATATATACATATACCTATAGATAGATAGACATATGGGCAGATGGATAGATAGATACATATATATATGGATGGATATATATGTAGATCCAGGTCGATGTTGCTTGTAATTATTCTAGAAATAATAACTATTTTTGTAAATAAATTATTTTCCTATACTTTTTTTAATGTTATAATTTATATATATATATTTTCTTTGTAATTTTTTTTTAAATTGGTTTGTTTTTTTTTTAATATTTTTTGTATTTTGTAATATTTTTAAATATTTTGTAAATTTTATTTGTAATTTTTTAAAGATCTTGTAGCAATATTACTTTGGATTATTGGATTATTATTTTGGAATTTTTTTAGGAAATTTATTTTTTGTTTATTTCATTTAAATTTACTACCATTCTTACGCTGAACATGATAGAAAATAATATTTCATATTATAAAATATAATATACATTTAAATTAATAAAAAAAAAATTAGTAAAAAAAAAATTAATAAAAAAA